TACGCATTGACTCGGGCAGCTATTTTCCCACAAGCTAACTCTTTCTCTTTCGCCGCTGCAGCCGTGTTGCTTTTTTTTTTTTACGAAATATGGGCTCGTAGTCACTATATGCTTGTAGTAGCACATCCATTTCTGTCGGGGAAAAACGCAGACCTATTTTTGCTTCGTCCTGTTGCCATGGTGACTCGTAATGTCTAATGTCATTGTTCAGGGCTTTTTATAGTCACGCTGGACGCGCCTAACTCTGAGTCTAACTACTCAGAGTTGATTAAACCAACTCTTTTCAGCTGTTCTGAAACCGAAAACTCCAAGTTTTCCAACTCTGTGTAAGTCAACTCAGAGTTCAGGTTTGAACTCTGAGTTTGTTAAACCTCCTTCTTGAAACGGGCCCCATAACCTCCAATCTCATATGCTAATGGATGGAGGGAGTGTATGTTTTTCCAACTAGTGCAGGGTTTGCTGAATCCATCAAATGTCACACACTAGATAACCGACAGGCTTGTTGCCCCAGCCTCATGTTGGTAGCACACTCACACAGCAACCTGGGTTCAGCAACTTGTTCAAAGACACTACGGCATGTGGACTGGAGGAGCTGGGAATTGAACTGCCAACCATCCAGTGAGAAGTCAACCTGCTTTACCTCCTGTGCCACAGAAACCCTGAGCAATAACCTCCAGTGTTAATGATTAGTGACAAATCATTAAAATTAAATTTGGCTAAAGATATGTAAGAATTGTTATTTTTAAACTGCCCGCATATTCCGATGTTTTCAAGAAAAGTTTAATTGCTTCAAAACTTAAAAAATATGTAAAGAAATACAACAAAAACTCAGTAAAACTATATTAAAAGACAAATATTTAGACAGACAGAGAGAGCACACCATAGTCAGGACACCCATCAGGTTTACAGGTATGGGCTCCTGCTTGACCCTCTCTGCAACCAGCTCCACCAGCAACATGAGCATGTTGTAGATTCCCTCATGAATCTCTGTGCCCCATTTGTGTACAGCACTGCTAGTCAGCAACTGGGAACAGAAAACAGAAAAGAGGAAGTGCAGTGAAAATGTGTGGTAACTATCAAAGTATTACACAGCTGTCTTCCTTTTTTACTCACCTTTTTAAAGGCTTCCGACATGCACCGATCCATAAACCGCTTGCAGTTCTCATCAGCGTCAGCAAGACCTGACAGAGAGGGAGATATTTATTTTACGTATTTATTCCAGATCTTAAAAAAAAAAAAAAACACAACAAAAAAACAAAACTGGCTATGACGAAGTAGATACAGATAGCGCAGTGTAACACAAGAGTCCAAATTAGCAACATGTGAAAAACACCAGTCCAAAGAAAATATGCCACCTACACAATAACACAGATGGTGAGCATTTAGTTTAATGCAGAACAAAGATTTTCCCCACACACGTGGTCTTACCATGACGGGCGAGGCAAGTGGACGCAATGAGACACTTGCCCAGAGACTCCTCTCTCTTATAAGGTATGGACCAGTGATCGGTAAAGACTCGACTCTCCAGCTCATAGAGGTTGGTGGTGGGGAACTCCATGCTACCCCCGGAGCAGTTCCCGTTCTCATCATTGCTCCTCTGTAAACACACACACGACAAAATTGTAATTTTCAGCACACAAGGACTGTAACACAAGGACTAACTTTATTTCACGCAGCTTGTGTCAGTGTTTTATAATGACAGTGCAAGTGTCCTCTGTGTGGGGATACACATGGTCTCTGGCAATGATAAAGTTGAGACAGGATGGTGTTCAATTCCTGTCCTCCCTCTGGGAGAGAAGTGATAGTGTCCTCCCTCCTCTATAATCTGCCCTTCATCGCTGCATCTTTCTGCCCCTCTAGTTTGCCCCCAAAGGCATACAAAACAAATTCTCATTTTTCAAGCACTTTACTGAGGGCTGTCTTGTTAGCAGTATGATGCTAACCACATTGTTTCAGCAGTCACATGTGAAGGGGCAAGTTAAAATTCTGCATTGGTTCAAAATGCCAAATTTTCAGGTTTAACCTACAAATGCTATGAGAAAACAAAATGGCCAGTGCCCTTTAGTGTGCATGGTGGATGCAGCAGCAAAGGACTTTTTTTACTATTCATATCATAAGGTTTCTTACATATTAATGAAGTCAGAAGTGAACATTTATGTTCTAACTGCCCTCAGTACTAGTGCTTCCCAGTGGAACATTTCAGCACACTAAAGCACATCATATTTGAAAACCACTAATGATTTATATTTGCACTACAATTGCACTGTTTAACAAAGCACAGTACTATATCTTAATGCATCTTAAATTATGACTGAGCCTGAGACCCAGCTCCCACTACAACACAACTGACCCAAACTATTAGAATGCATTTATCCGTTTTACGGGGGTGGGGGCACCACACAGTACAACTATTAATACAGAAGAAAAGGTTAGGTCAGATATTACCATTTTGAGTATGTCACCACATATTAGCATATATAATGGTTTAGTGCCTGTTTTACTGTGCTGTAAGCTGATATACTGTACAATGTAAAGGCACATTAAGAGAAGGAGAACAGGAGGGGAGGATGGTGGGAGAAAGCAATAAAGAAGCATCAAGTTTCTCCCTTTCTCTGTCTAAGAAAATTAAAAGTGACAGAGAGATGGATGAGAAGAAGAAAAGAGACTGGGAGAGGCTAACCCAACACCAGTCAGAGAAAACACTAGGTTAAGATAGTAACCAACCAGATATATTTCATTGCTAGCACAATAACCACATCACAACTCAGTGTTAATTTAACATCAATATAAAACTGGATTCTTTAGATGTGCAAAGCAATGACAGCAAAGGGGAAAAAAGGACATTTTCTCTTGCTAAATACTATATACAGAACCTCTCACCAGTCACAATCAAACATGAAAACAAATGGGTGGATAGGCTGCAAAGCCCTTGGTGTTTCAAGACCTAAAGCCTTTAGGGGAAAGGTTCAATTCTCAAAAGCACAGTAATGCTGTGTGTGCCACTCTGTCACCAAGCACCCTGCAACCCTCCTAGGACTCCCTGCAAAAACTGCAATATGTCTGTGTGTGTCAGGGAGGCTATATTTAGGAGCATGACATGGGGCCAAAGACTCATGTCTTTACTCTCAAGAACAGATATTTCAGACAGAGGGACCGAAAAGGAAATAAATCACTTTCATTGTTAAGGCATATACTGCATGGTTCAGAAGTTAATGACATGGGAGTGACACATTAATTTCTCGGTTTCATGACAAATACTATTTCTGGAAATGTTTCAAACATATACATGAGGAGATGGAAAACTGTTGTTCTTACTGTACTTGCAATTTGCATCAAACTGTGACAGTGATGATCAAAGAGAAACAAAGGAGTGGGCCAACAGGTTTCAGGGAGTAGTTAATCTCTGCTGACCCATAATCACAGCAGCATTACCTTCCAATAACAATAGCAAGTGGTTGTGACATCTGAATCAATAACCTCACAAATGAAATGATTTTGGACTTTCTAAAGCAGCACTGATCTCTTTCCAAAGCACCTACAAGGTTTCTGGAAATCTAGGAAAGCAACAGGTTTGAAATGAATTTGCTTAAAGGCAAACAACCTCAAGTTCCTCAAGGTTTCAACACAGGCATTTATCAGCAAACAATACAGTTTAAAGTTGCAACATCACACAAACACAGTAAACTATGACTAAGATGCAACCTCAGCGGGTACATTATCGCCAGCAGCTAATAAATGGCATAGAAGCATCAACTGCCAGGGTCCCTCACAGCACGAGCAATCACTCAAAGACACAAGAAAGTAATATGTTAACAGCTAGAGTTAAGACTGTGGGTGGAAGAATTATTAAAATTGGCAAATCAACAGCGAAACCTTTGCTAAGCCCGATCTGAGTAGGCACGAATCTCGGCAGGAACTGAGGCCAACCTGCCAACTAACGTTACCTTGTTAACCTATGCAAAAAAAGACAAAACAGATCCAGCTAACGTACAGTAATTATTACCAAAGTACTCCCAGTTATAATCTGTGACTGCAGTCCAGAATGATGCCCCTATAGCCAAGGTTAACAGATACTGGCGCGTTCAACTCTCGACTGACGTTAACATTAGCTAGCCTGCTACTAGCCACCTGGGTTAGCCTCTAAGTTTAGAACTGCTATTTACCACAATTATTTAAGCCTAGCGTTCGTGCTAGCAGACAAATCTCCAGTCACTCTGAGCCAGTGACCTGCCCAGTCCCGTATGGACGGGGAGCATTTCACCTCCCGCGCTGACAGATCGCGCTGGGCTCGGTGCATGCTCGTAAAGCATTGTAGCGGCTAAGTTTGGCGTGTTAAATGGGCGAGACCACTCTCCTCCAGTAAGTTGCCATTAGCCATATCGTCCCTCCTCTCACCTTCATTTGCTGAAACTCCAGCAGCTCTTACCTCGCTATCCACTACATCGTGGTATGCGGGCGGGGGGTCAAACCCTCCCGTCCCGGTCCGCCCGCTGTTTTCCCCGTCTCCACTCGAGCCCAAGACGGGGGCAGGCCCACTCTCCATCGGTTCATATCCATACCCGAGTCCGGGGCTTTCGTTCGTCAGTAGCGCCACTGCTTCGTTGATGTCGTTTTTTGCCAGTCGGAGCGCTTTTCGTATCTCGTCGGGGTCTGGGAAACCCATACAGAGGAGCGTCGTTATATGCTGCTCCTCTTCGGTCTCCATTTTTGGGGTGTCTCCGGCTCTCAGACTAAAAGTAATAGGGTGTTCGGCAGAGCGCAGTAGCTATGCACGCCGCCATGTTTACAGTCCACTACTGCTATTCTGTCACGATCCGACTTCCCCACAACAGCGCCGACACAGGTGTTATGCTGAGTTCTGGCCGCTAAGAATAGTATGCTCCGCGCGGGAGCGCGCACCGCGAAAGGGGAAAGTCCTAGATCTTAATGTTGAACTCTATGGGTTATTGTTTAACAAAAGAGAAATTTTACCTCCCTGGTGCTCTAATATTTATGATGTAGGGAGGCCAATTTTAGCCGAGAAAAGGACAGAATCAGAGATAAGATATTTAGTAATTAAACCGACAAAAATGAAATGTCAACATTAATCGTTCATTCCTTCGTTTGCTTTCTTTCTTTTTAAAAGATTAATTTAATACCCATTTAAAGGCGTGACTTGTGATCCAAGTGTAAACAGATGGACCAAAATAAAAACTAAAAATACAGAAAGAGAAAAAACTTCTCATTATAGCACACTGATGAGACAACACAGGTATAGCCTGACTCTAGCCTAAAGCTGTAGTAGCTCGCCAGAAATACTGTTACCCGTAAATTGCATGAATGAGGCCTAGGCCATCTCCTTTTTCAATTATAACTGGCTGAACAACGCAACAAATGCTGACTTACATTTCAAAAGCTTTCTTCCTTTTGTAACTCAGACATATTTTAGGTGTAGATTAAATGTGTTTATTTCAAAATATTTTATGCACACTTAATTTAAATTAGCCCTGCGATGGACTGGCGACCTGTCCAGGGTGTACCCTGCCTTTGCCCGATTGCTGGCTGGGATTGGCTACAGCCCCGTTTGGGACTGAGCGGTAGAGAAGATGAATGAATAATTTAAATTACCGACAGTAATACAAGTTATGATGCCACTCATTTGATTTAAACCCACTCATGGGCGTGGCAGTGCGCACGAGCATGGGTGGTGGGACATCACGTGAACATTCAGCTCATGTGACAAAGGAAAGTCGGAAAAAAATGCCTGCCACTGGTAACGATGCTGCTGCCATGGACAGCATTTCCAGGGCTCCAGCTATCCACCCAGCGGCTCTTAACCCGGCTGTAGGTTCCACCAGTCACGCAGAAGAGCCGGAGGAAGCAGCGGAAAGCCTGGCGACCGCCCCAAAGAAGTCCACCGTCGGTAGTGAGTTATGTTTGATTGCAGCTTCCGTAGTTTGCTAATGCTAATAGCACACAGCAACCACTTTATTTCTGTTTTCAACGTCTGCCGCATTGTGTACTATCATTGTAGCATTCCTTAACTTGCCTCTCTAAAATATGGGCTCGTTGCTTTTCCATTGTGGTCCCATTTAGTGTTTGATCTGGTTTAACAAGCTGAGTGTTCCTGCTTCTTTTGATTGTGTTCAGGTGAAGGTGGTGTGGAAACAGCAGAGGAAGCTGTAGAGCCTGCAGAGCCTGATATCAATGAGCTGTGCAGTGATATGTTTGAAAAGATGGCTGTCTTCCTGCAAGGAGAACTCACAGGTGTTTTAACATATCATACTTTCTCTTATTTTTCCCCGCACATAGAAACAACTATATATTGTATAACTGTATATTCTTAACCAGATGATTCATTTCTGATATTAATATTTAGTTTCACATCTATGTTATTTAGTATTCTTTTCCTCTGGTTTCTTTAACATTATGCATGTTCTCCCTGTCTCTAACTTTTCAGCCACCTGTGAGGATTATCGTTTATTGGAGAACATGAACAAGCTAACCAGTCTGAAGTACATGGAAATGAAAGATATCAGCATCAATATTAGTCGTAACCTGCAGGATCTTAACAACAAGTGTAAAGTATAATGTATCTGCACACATACTCAGAAACATAGCATTGCTGTATTTTTTTTTTCTAGTTCAATTATTATTTCTATTACTGTGTCATTAATGCCTGGATGGGATGTGTATTTGCTTTAGATGCTAGCCTACAGCCCTACTTGGACCAGATAAATCAGATTGAGGAGCAAGTGTCTGCTCTTGAACAAGCTGCTTACAAACTGGATGCATACTCAAAGAAATTGGGTAAGACATTTATATGTACAGAAATGCAGAACTTTGTATGTATAATATGTTCTGCCAAAAGTATAATTAGTGAGATAGTTCCTATTTAAATTCAACAGTTAATATTGTAAGTGAATAAGCTCAAGTTTAGTAGCATTACAAATTTCGTAGTCCTATTAATATGCAATAATAATAATTATATTATTACTTAAGCAGGTAATGTGAACAAACTAGTGCACCCATCTCAAACAGCTCATATTACAATATTAAGAAGGTCACCAGCAGATGGCGATGTAATGCCACAGACAATTACACAGCTAAATGTTTCTACATTGCAACTTAGAAAGATTACAAAGACATCCACACACACTGCATTTGAATTTTAGAAAGATGGGTTTCTTTTGTTACAGCTTTTGGCTATAGAGTGAACAGTTCTATCTTCCACTGTCATTGCAGAGGCCAGATTCAAAAAGCTGGAGAAGCGATGATGAAAAATAAAGCAGGCTGAGAGTTATGCTGCCTTCTCACCTTTTTGCATCCTGCATTGCCCTCTTCTTTCCCTGCCAATGAATCAGGAGCTGCAGGGAGGATGTGAACTGAGATTGAAACAACAAACAGTCAGAGCCACATCGACACCTTAGAAAGTGCCAATGAAGCAACAGCCAAAGGCACATGAACTCGTACTGCGGTACTTGGCTTTGATTTATCACAGCCATTGTGAATAAGAGCATACAGTGAATACCCATCATTTGACAGAAACACTTTATGTAGAATAAATCTACCTAATTACCACCTTATCCAAAGTTAATTGTGAAGTCAGAATATAATTATGTACTATTAAATAAAAATTATAGTAGATTGGCAGGTACTTGCACAAGTGAAATATATATAATGACGTTTTTTGTCATATGTAGACAATTTACATGATGAAGCATGGTGTCTTTAATAATGTCCCAGCCCATTTAGTGTGACTATTTCAGGCAACTGATGTCTTGACAGATGGAACCATTTAGTAGACTGACATGCAAATTGGGATTATTTCTAGTTAGACATTTATTTGTCAGGGCAATGTGAACAGTGCCACAAACTGGTTAACTTAGAGACTTTGCTGTTATAAAAGGAAACTGTAAATTACTAACTCTGTGGAGTCAGTTTTAATTATTGTACTATATCTGTTTGGAGATATTGAAAAGTGTTGTTTTTTTTAAATAAGCCATGATAGAGATATCATTGCATGAGTGTTTCCTTAAGGCAAACCTGCTGCTGACAGCAGATGGCAGACCTGCACCATGATCAGGACTTGAGGTTTGATTCAGCCTTTTCAGAGGAAGAAAAGCTTCAGTAAGAGTGAGACCTACAGAAGGAAATGGATGACATGTACTTGACAAGTCAAAGTAAAGATTGAATGGGTGACTAAAGATGTGTGTGATGCTCTCTGCCTGTTTCCTCCTCTATATTAGCTGTACCAGATCTCTTTTTGCCATGAGCAACAGATTGTCTAAACTGATAGGACTTCCCTCCTGAGTATGTGTGTAGGTTTGTCCATGCACACATATGCATGTTTGTGTAAGACCTAATGTAAAACAGGTCTCTGTTATTAGTCCAGCTGAGGCCCCTGCACAGAGGGAGCTCATTATTCATACTGAAACATTATTTACTGTTGTGCTGTGATCCTCCTATCACTCCCTTCCCTGCCTTTTCCAGGGCCCCAGGGCCTAAATCCATCCCCAACTCCCCGAAAGGATTTCAAAACATGTCTCTTCAATGATTTTTGGATTGTTTTCTAAAAGCTAAATGTGAGTGCCAGGAGGCAATCAAGAATACTACAAGAGGTAAACCTTTCTTATGTTAATACATTTGGGAAACTACCACAAAGCTAGACCATGCTGTAGCAATATAGTTTGGGTGTGGAAACTTATGATGTTCTGTGCAAATATGTATTGGTGATTTTCAGACAGGGTGGAGGGAAAGTACATGTAGAAATTTGTATGGGTTGCTCATTCACAGCCAAACATATGGAGGTGTAACTCAACTGGTAAATAATTCTCCGCTCTCTATCTCATATAATCCATATTTTCAAAAGAAATGTTCTGCTCTTAAAGGTGTTGTGTAGTTGAGGAAACAATGAAACAAAAGAAATAATGTGGCCATATATACAAACTACAAGCTCCAGGTGATTGTGAAACCCTTGCTCCACCTGCCAGATGTTAGTAGATGGAGTTTTTTTGACCTTTGGGGTTTTTCCCTGTTTAAAGTTTTCTATGCTAAGCTAAGCTAGCTCCCACTTTGGTTTTACCTTGGATATGTAATTTTTGAACCACAAATATGGGTTAAACAAATAAGATATAAAGTGTGAACCAGTAAACATTATAGGTAGGCTTCCCCCCTTTGGATAGAGCAATACTTGATGTTTTCTTGTTTCTGGTATTTATGAAAAAATCAAGGTAATTGCCTATTGGTTGTAGGTTCATATTTAGTGTACACACAAAGTGGTATCAGTCTTCTCATCTCAGAAATGCATTAAAAACATATTTCAGTTAGGCCCATTAAAAATTTAACAATTTATAATATTATACATGGAATCTGCTGTGGTGTTTGAATTCATTGATAGTTAAGTGGAGGAGGTAGACTATTCCAGTGAGTTTTCTCATACCTTACAGAGCCATAAGGTACCACCCAATATATTATTTTGGTCTTTGCTTTGATTCTCTCAATGTAACATGAACATATCTGACCCTATAAAAATTCAAAATCTCAGTTACATTCAGTGACCAGCCAGCCATTTCAGCTCAGCGTTGTAATAACAAAAACAAAACAAAAACATGCTTTTCCTCAGATAAGGCTTCTCTTTTTTCACTGCTGTTCTCTTTTGTAAATTTCATTCACAGTGTACATGCTGATCCCCAGGGTTGAAGTACATGAGAGACAACAGGAGACTTTGTGCAGACAATAAGTCCTCTGCAAATATGCTCTAAATTAATCGTGAAAACCTCATCCACTTTTCAGTGCATTACGTTTTAAAATATGCCAGATTATATATCAGTAACATGGGAATGGTTCTGATTGAATTACATGCACTGTGGCTTCAGCTTATAGATATTATCATCTTAAAATGCACTTTATGCAAATTGAACCAAATAGACCTAACTCAACACAGCAATTATTCCAATTAAGATGTTTTGAACTGATATAGCCTCAATTTGATTTGGTCTGACATACCTCAGGAAATTCCCAGAATTGTGCTGTGAGTGTTTCAAACACAAGTCCATCATCAGCTGTAGCAAAGGCACTGTTTTCCCTTAAGTCGATCTTGGAGAATGGGTCAGTCAACAATAACAGGGCAAGGTGCCACACCACAGTGTTGTGTAACTGAAAAGCAAGCGCAAGGTTTGGGGAAATGTTGTTATGAATGAGAGTGAACAAGGACACAGTCTGTTTCTTGCCACATTTTTTTTTTCTGTTTTCAGCCTTGCTTAAAGTTAATATTTCACTTTTTTCACTTAACTGAGTTATGTCAACAAATGCACTAGTGTTGAGCAATCTCTATCCCTTTGTCTTTCACTTTCGCACACAGATTGTGATGGGATAAACAGCCTGAAATAACTGCACTCCAAGTAATTTAAATACCCTCTTATACCCCTATAAAGCATAGACACTATAAAGACAAACAAATAGCTTGAGTAAATGACAACATGGTTTATGTCTGCATCCATTTCCAAGCAGCCAGTAGATCTGGGAGATTTTTCAATATAAGCCACATGTGAGATGTGAGGGACTAAGGTAGACTTCAAATACACTTTATAAGAGGAACATGAAAAGTCATGTGAGGTCAACTTTTGGCATTACATTCATTCACCTCACTTTGCTGCTCACACCTTCAGCATGTACTGTGCACATGTGAGGATGCAGGACACACACAAAATTCACATGTCACGTCTGACCCCTTTGAAACTCTAACTCAAAAGCTAGCATCTGTCAGGTTTGTAGCTTTTGGAACACTCTGACCAGTGCTAGGTAAAAGCAATCTGTTCTGATTATACCAAAATGTCCACACTGTTACTCTATTATTACAAATATAAAGTGAGACCAGATGGGGCTGTGGCACAAAACTGTATGTGCAATGTTATTTTGGATGTGAGATGGAGCCCAGCGGTTCTCAGCAGCTAGCAGAGTCAGGGTGTCAGATCCAGCTCTGTTCATGGGGTTGAATAGAGGGCTGAGGGTCCATTCTCTGCCGGACATCATAGCCATCAACACCTGAGAACTGTCCTGTGCAATCATAGTTAAAATGTGATATTAGTTCAATCCTGGTGTGTCCCCTGTGTGCTGCCATTGTTTTCATTTTGGCTTTCTCTGAATAGTCCTGCTTTCATTTCCAGCACCATGTCTAAAGGGATTCAGCATCTTTTAGACACCCTATTAGAACCCCACTCTGACTCAATGGCACCAGAGCCACTGATGTGTTTCTATGCCTGCATGTGTGTACTTCAAATAACAGACACTGACCACACCTAGGCAGACATTTCATACACAAAATATAGTGACACAGTGATGGGAGTGCAGTGCACTTTATAGAGAAAATTATTTCATATGATATTTGAAAAACTGGGCCAACATTATGGGAACAACATCCAAGGATAAGCTTTTTTGAACAGTTAGTAAGTCTGAAGAACACATGCATACACGTGAAACATGTTTGGAGTGGATAAATTCTTTCAGTTTGCACGTTAGGTTTAAAGATGAACTAATCAATAGTATTTTTATTTAATGGATCAAATGAAGGTCAAAGGTCAAAGTGTTTATTTGTCATATGCACAGTTAGTAAACGTGTTTCCCTGTACAATGAAATTCTTACTTTTCCGTCCACATGAATGCCACAAAATACAAATGAAATATAAAGTAGATGAGCAATAACACAAATCTAAATAGGCAGTAAAATCACAAATCTAAGGCACTGTAAAGCAGCAAGTGAAGGAAGCAACTAAAAATACAACAAGAACACAATATAATGCAGAGAAAATCTATGCTACGTGGGAGCCGTGGACTGCAAATACTCAGCAGTAAGTGTGCAATTATGCATGTGCACTTTGTAAACAGTACAGATGGAATTACATGAGGTAGATCCTGAGCCAGCTGTTTAGGAGTCTGATGGCAGTCAGAAAGAAAGAGTTTTTCAGTCTAGAGGTCCTGCATTTCACACTTCTGAACCTCCGACCGGAGGGCAGGGGTATGAGCAGTCCATGCTGGGGGTGGGTGGGGTCCTTGAGGATGGAGGCAGCTTTCCTGCGCACCCTGCGGTGGTAAATAATCTGCAGAGAGGGCAGTGGAGTCCTGGTGATCTTCTCTGCAGTCTTTACCACTCTCTGCAGGCGCTTGCGGTCCATAGGAAGTTGCAAAGGATCCTAGGCAACATGCCAAACCTCCTCAGCCTCCTCAGGAAGTACAGCCGCCGTTGGGCCTTCTTGACCAGCTGTGAGGTGTTAAGTGTCCAAGTGAGTTCATCACTGATGTGGACACCCAGGTACTTGAAGCTGCTCACCCTCTCCACTTCGAGCCACAGTGATGCGACCAATCACTGCGGTGTCGTCCGTGAACTTTAGGATGATGTTGTCTTTGTGGGAGGCGACACAGTCGTGGGTGAACAGGGTGTAGAGGATGGGACTGAGGACACATCCCTGTGGGATGCCAGTCTTTGTGATAATGCTGGCTGAAGTCCTATTGCCAATCCTGACAGTCTGGGGCCTGTCAGTCAGAAAGTCCAGGAGCCAGTCACAGAGGGTGGGGTGCAGACCCAGTGTGGACAGTTTGTGGGTGAGTTTGTGGGGGACAACTGTGTTGAAGGCGGAGCTGTAGTCAATGAAGAGTATCCTGATGGAGGAGTCTCCATTTTCCAGGTGAGAAAGGGAATAGTGAAGGGAAGCTGTGATGGTGTCTGAGGTGGCCCTGTTGGGCCGGTAGGCATACTGCAGGGGGTCCAGGGTGCCCGGTATACTGCTCTGAATGAGGGCCAGTACCACTCTCTCAAAACACTTCATAATGATTGAGGTGAGTGCCACTGGCCTGTAGTCGTTCAGGCAGGTGACTGGGCTCTTCTTGGGAAGGGGGACGATGGTTGTGGTCTTAAAGCAGGTGGGAACG